GGGCTGAAGACGCGAACACGTGTAAGACGAGGCCCTGCCCCCTAGGAAACTCGCTCTCTCCCAGGGACAAGAGGCCCAGGTGACACGAGTGATGAGCGTCACCCCTTCAACGTGAAGCACGGCCACTATGGGAGACAGAGGAATGGGCACGCTAACTCACTGGAGGGAGGTAAGTGGTCAGAAGAGATACCTTAGAGCAGAAATTTCAAGGATTAAGTATAAAATTGAACACTATAGAACTTTCGATTCCAGCAAAGACTACAGAACAGACAGCACATAAGAGGCCCAGGTTTTCAACCTCTTCCTGTCATTAAGTAACTGTCCTATCACACTTTGACCCGTTATAGCTACAAGGGTCAGTACGGTTTAATGGAAGAACAGTGGGCTTGAACCTTCACCTAGATGTTTTATAAGCATGTCACCTTGGGCGAGTCACTTTAGTTGTTGGCGTCTCTGGTTTCCACAACTGAAAAATTGGGCTAATCACCTCTACGTTTCTGGGTTGTCTCCAGTGCTACTGACGTCGCAGACAATCCCGGCACAGAGAAGCGACTCGAAAATGTTCCTAGGCTGCAGCAGTTAAATCTAAACCATCAAATCGTTAACTATTTCAAAAAAGCTAGTGAAAGGGTAATAAGACATTCCTTAGTTTAAAAAAGTTAAAACTCACTCTCAAACACACACAGAGGAAGGCAAGAGTTTCTCCGGAGCAGAGACGGTGCGGTCCCCCCTCGACCTGATGACCCAGCGCCCCTGCCTGGCACGGTAGGGTCTCCGTGAACTCGCCGCCAACGTCCAGACACCGAAACACTAACTCACAGACACTGGATTGCTCTGAATCTCGACCCGCTAAAGGAAATTCAGAAATGATTTCTCTGAAAATGTGAGTCATCACATCCATTCTCCTACCCAAAACAAAAACTGACAACCTTAAGACACACAATTAAAAACTACATAACCGCATCTCCTCTAGACGAAGCAGAGTCTCACATTACGGCGTGAAGGGACCCCACTGAAACACAGTTCTGCAGTCTTGATGCTCATTCTTCTCTCTTACTCTACATGTCCGACAACATTCAAGCAAATCAAAAGTATTTTCCTAAAGGGGTCCCCAAACGTAAAAGCAGAAGCCAGGGGGTTCTGCCGAACAGAGATGCACACAGGGCAGGCGATGGCCCTCACTTTATACGTTTTTGCCCCACATATATCCTGAGTGAGTCCTAATATTAGTGAAATTGATGTAACATGAACATTTATTTTAAAACACCAACAAGGAACTTTATCAATCTGGAAATGGACCCTCTTGTAACCGACTGCTAGATACAACTTGGCAGTGAACCAGCCACCAATCCATATATTATATCAGATAATTAAAAATCCAGGGTTATGTAATCTTATTTAATGGTTACTTGGCTTGTACTGAAAACCATCCAAAGCAATACCAGAGTGCTGGATTAAATAATGCGTAAGACATTTTCTGAAGATGGTTTTTCGTAGGAGTCAGCATATCCCCTACTAGCAAATATAACATAAAACATGGAACGGAACTTTCATTTCCAATTAACCTCCTTGGCAAGAAACTGCAATGTCAATTCACTCTATAGGAACTTATGGGGGGGCGGGGGTGTCAAAGCCTATTTTTTATTCGGTTTTACATCGTGTAAACATTACCCATTACTTTTGGTAAAGAAACAAAAGTATTCACTATTTCAGGGGTGGAGAGAAGAAGAACCGGTTATCCTAAGAAAAGAAAAATAAAAGTCAGCAACTAATGCCCATCATAAAACACAACCCTGGAAAAAGTGTAAAAGCCAACCTGCATTAGTTACCGTAGAAGTCTACATCTTGACCTCATACCAGCTCAAGTTCTTAAAGATTATTAGAAAAAAAAGGAATTCGTCTAGGAAGTTGATCGACGTTAACAAATACTTAATGTTTTAATAGTGACACCACCTCATTTATAAACTGTTTCATTACCATAAAGTGTTAATTACTCAAGTAATACGGCGGTCACAGGAAGGCTTTAATTCAAACACGCCTCATGGCCTGAGCACTAAAATCCCATAGGATAAAGCTCCATGAATGTTTGTTTCTTCAAAGAAGACCGCTAGACAAATACAGAAAAAAACTTTTGTAGAAAACCAAGTCAACAAGAAGCAAGCATTATCAATCGTATTGATTTCTGCAGGGTTTTAAATCAGCATGTGCAGAGCGTTTTGTCCCATCTTTACGGGAGGCATAAGTAGCAAGAACAACGGCCTCAAGAGACAGGAGACCTGAGTTCAGATGAAATCTGTGTCAGTTGCCTGCAAGCGTGAGTAGCTGGGTCCTCAGCTCCCCATCCCTTAGAGAAACAGACACAGCAGGGTCAGCCGCACCAGGGCGCACGTGTGAGGATGGAGCTGGACTGCATGTGCCTTATCTGCCTCGGGAACCTCCAAATACTATGCAAACACAAGGCAGAGCTAGCATTTGGAGATGTTAACCACAAAACACATCTATTACATGCCACTCCACAATAAAATGAAGGTTTGCATTGCAGATCCATCATCCCTGGACAAGCTAGTGCCAGAATACCAATCCCCAGTCCCAGTATTGCGATTCAGAATAACCTCCGGGGGGGGAAAAAAAAAAACAGTTTTCTTTAGAGGCGAATAGTCAACAATATAGCTAAGATTAAAATGCTTTCCTCTAGCCAACAAGATGGTTATCAGATTGACAATCAAAGCTTCCTCATAACCATTCAGATTCAGATTTAAGACACTTTTAGAAATGCACTTGTAATTTTGGAGTTACATAACAGCATAATTAATATTTTAAATGATAGGGCTTTGCATCTTGAATATCAGCCTATGACTTAAGGGAAGAACGTTTTAGTCTGAAGTAGTCTAAATTAACAGTAACAAGAGCATATGAGCAGCTCTTTTCCTCCTTCACATAACTGTTCAATATGAGAGATCTACTTCTTACAAGAATTACATTTTTGACAGAAAAGTAAGGTAATCGGGGGTTTAACATCAAAAAAAAAAAAAAAAGAAAGAAAGAAAAATACAGAATGGCAACATTGTCCAATATCTGTTTCAAATAACTGGAAGCCGTTAACACTAGTAAAAACATAGTAACCAAAAGAACTTTGTATTAGCAACACAACACTATGGCAACATGACACACAAAAAAAATCATTCTGACTTTTAAAATAACTCGTTAAACTTTTAGTTACACTGCTTCCTTAACTGAGAACAATAAACTTTGATTCGGCTTCTCTATTAAGAAAAAGTCTCTTGATTCTACAGTCCGGAATACTTCTAATGCCAATGATCTCACACAATGTACAAAGAAATTTCTTTCACAGAGATGTCAGCCCAGCAGGAGACAAACGATGTATGTAAATCATAAAAAGCAAGGAGTACAAACCTAACTGTAGAACTGCTCAGAAGAGCATGGGAATAAAATTTAAGGACGCATGCTCATTACTTTTTCACAAGTCCATTTTAGTAAAGAAATCAAAATGAGCCTAAAATTAAAATAAAATGGGAAAGCTCTGTAAAATGATTCTTCTTCAACAATTCAAATACCATGATTAAATTCTTGGAGACAGTGAGTCTCTCCAGCACCATCGCCATCCGTCGACACACACTCTACTCTGAGGAACCCGTTGCAATAGGCAAATGCCGGAGGTGGCTGTTTTAAAATATAGATATCTACATACAAATAGAATATGTCTGCCTCATCTTTCACTTTCAACAATGAAACCGCCAGGACCAGCACGGAGACCGGCAGACCCGATTTATCTCGGGAACAACAGACTGTCACTGCACAGAGTGAGCCATGCAAAAGGTAACAACAGATCTGACCGGCCGATGGTTCTGCCGTCACCCAGGGGGAGAGCAGACTAGTGGCTCCCGAACCCATCTTGATCTAAAACACACAATCCGGACACAGGCTGAGTCGAGGACGGCTCCTGAGAAGGCAGGCTTCATTTACCTTCCATCCCAGAAGGTTACTCAGGAAGCTGGAGGAGGAACAAGCCAGGGACCGCTGTCCTGGGGAGGCGCGCCTCCATCCGCCCCTGTACCCCAGTGTCCTGTCCTTCCAGGGCTGGTCACACCCTGAGCTGGCTGGAGTACTGCTAAAATGGCATGGGCAGAGGACTTCTTGGCCAGTGTTCTGAACGCCGAAGCAGCCACCAATGAGGGTGGCCCACTCGCTCTTCCCAAAATGAGGACAGGCGAGCCAAGAAGGGGCTCTCGTGCCACCTCTTCTCGGCTGCAGACCCCTCCCAGAGCGAGCCTGCAAGGCTTGGCAGGACTTGCTCACCCTCGGGGAGGGCAGACCGCCCCACCAGGGCTGCCAGAGCCTGGGCATGGGGGAAATACAGGGCTGGGAGAGAGGACTGGGCTCTGCCACCAGCACAGCAGGGTCCCCCTCTAAGGTGCTTGGGGTCTCCCCCCAAAACCTCCTCCAGGGTCCTCAAACTTCACTAACAAGCCAAGCACCTGTTTCCTTCACCTCTTCGGCATGTGATCCGCTCAAATCCTTCCATTCTCCTCCCGTTCCTCAGACCGACCAGAAACACGACTTCCCCGAGCCCCCCGCCCTCTCCTCTCCAAGGAGATAATGCAACCCCCGACCCCACGAAGTCCCCAGATGTTCGCCGTCCCCCACCCAGAAGTTTCCCTTGGGTATTCGAGTCCCCGAGGGCTGCCTTTGAGTCTCATCCGAACGCCCCAGCCTTCTCCCTCCTTCTCAAGTCTCCCAGATTCGCATCTCGGGCTTTTCCCCAGGTGTCCCATATTCTCCCCGGTCGCCACCCAAATGCCCCCAGATCGCCGCCTGGGCCCCTCCCAGAGGTCTATTTCCAGCCAGCCCCACAGTTCCGCCTCCCAAGACCCCAGCATTCCTACGCGGGCCCGACTCTCCCGGGTCCCCGAGCCCCCCGCCACTCCCCAGGCCCCCAACGGCCATGGGCGACAGTTGGCAGCCGGGGCGCGCGCCCTCACCTTGGTTCACCAGCCGCAGAGCGTGCGTGAAGGAGGGGTCCAGGGAGTCCTTCTCCGCCATCAGCTCCGGCAGGTACTTCTCCTCCATGCTCGCCGGCCGCCCGGGCCCGGGACGCGGACTCGAGGCGCGCGCTCCTAATATTTAGAGTTAAAATAAAGACAAATTTTCTTCAACTGAACAACCCTAACTTAGGGATTTTCTAGGTTCTTTTCAAT